CTCTCCAGCAATTTTCTGAGATATGGACCAAACCCACTGCCTTTGCAAGCACGTGCACATGCTGATGCTTGAAGGGTTTGGGGATTTGTGCAGCTTTGCAAAGCCCGTTGAGGATTTGTGCTGATGGATTGCATCAAATCACCAAACTATGGCTTTGGAGGGAATTTGCAGAGGGAGAAAAGGGTTTGGGGTTGGGGGAGCGCACGTCCCACTCACCCGTAGACGTCGGTGGCGATGCGGGTGCCCAGCACGCACAGCGCGTGGATGCGGCTCCCAGGCTGCAGCCGCAGCGTGCGCTCCTGTGGCATCTCGCTGCCGGGATGCCCCGGTGCTGGCTGTGCTGCACAGGGCGTCTTCCTCTCTTCCTTGACCAACCCCCCACAACGAATCAATCCACCTTCAGAACTCTCAATGCTTGTGATGCTGACTATGGAGCCCTAGCCCCAATACAGGACCCTCCAGATCCACAGGAAAATGATCTCAGGAGGGAGGGAAGGGATGGAGGGGGAGGGCAGCTGGCTTGGTGCCACTCCACTCCCAGTCCCGTGCACTGAAATGGGACAATCCTCTCAACAGGGAGAATGCAAGATGACCTTGGAGGCATTTTTTGCAGCAGCATATCGGGGTTTGCAACCTTCTGTGCCTCCTACACCCCTTCCTGCTCTCTAGGGAAAATATTAGGGAGGAAGACACAATTTACCAACCCCAGGGCAAAAACAGGGTGCTGCCCTGCTTGCTTTTTGGCTTGCGTCCCTTTGCCCAGCTTGGCGCCGTGGCCAGGCCCACGCCGACAGCCCACGTGGGCGTTTTCATCCCTGAGCTGAATATTCATGTTGGAAACCAACCTTCTGCCCCAGATTTTGGAAGAACCTGCTGTAAGCAATTAGAGAGCAAGGAGCAGAAAGGGTCGGTTTGATCTGCCCTTTTTGCATTGCTTTTGGGCTTTTCTTTTTTAGCTCTCTCCATGACCTGGCCATAGGAAATGAGCTTAAATCCAGTTTCCCATCTGAAGTGAATTCCTTTTATTTCATTTTTCCCATGACCTGAGCAAACAAGGATTTTGCTGCTCTTTTGTGCACGTGCGAAAATAAACATGTTTTCTTATTAAGGAAACAACCCCAAACACCTCTCACTGTGTGCAAAGGCCCCGGGATCACCCCCTCACTTGCAGTTTTTATGTCACTGGGAGAATTTCCAGCTGCTCACTGGTTTTCTGTGACTCTATATAGAGACGTGTATTTATATCCCTGGAGTGACGATATATGGAGGCATGGAAGGAGGACCACATGAATGCCAAGGAGCAACCAGGCTGCTGGAGTTTTGGGGAAAGTCCTGATTTGGGGCAAAAATGGAGGAGGGTGGCTGGGTTGCAGGCCGAGGCCAACTGCTCAGTGGTTCTGTTTGCTGCTGGGCTGGTTCTTATCTCTGAGGAATTTATGTGGAAGGAGGCTGGGGTCTTTGCATGGCGTTAGGGCTCTTTAAAAGCCTTCTGGTGTCATTGCAAGCTTTCAAGGATCTTTGCAAGCCTTCTGGGATCTTGGGAATCTGGACAAAGTCTTTGCAAACCTTGGAATTGTTTGCAAGCTTTCTGGGGTCATTTGTAATCCTCCTAGGGTCTTTGGAAACTGGCAGGTTCTCTGCAAGTCTTTGGGACTCTTTGCAATCCTCCTGAAGTCTTTGTGATCTTGCCAGGGTTTTTGTAGAACTTTGGGGTCTTTGCAAGCTGTGTAGGTTCTTTGGAAACCGCTCAGAGTCTTTGCAAGTTTTCTGGGTTCTTTGTAAGGCTGTGCGAATCTTTGCAATCTTCTTGGGATCCTTGAAGTCTTATGGGCTCTTTGCAAGCTTCTTGGGTTCCCTGCAAAAGGTGTATGGTCTTAGCAAGTCTCTGTAGGTCTGTGCAAGGCTCTAGAACTCTGCAAGCTGTTGGGAGCTTCTACAAAGCACCTTCTCCTTGCAATACCTCCATAAGGGGAAGAAGGATTGGGGGAATCTCTGCAAAGAGGTGATCGTTCTGAGGTCTATACAGCAGGAACGGGGTTTTAAAAAAGGCAGAAGCTGCTCTGTGCTATCAGGTGGGAGATCAGAACTGGTGAACCATCATGGGACGTGTGTGTAAATATAAATATTCACTCACTGATGTCTGGAGGCTCGTGGTTTCACTGCTATAGTCATTCTGGTCAGAGGAGTTCTCTGGTTTTTAACAATCAGATTAGGAACTGTTCTGCATAAGCATCCTCACTGCTGATGGATCTCTGCCTGTCCTAATTTCTGGGGACAGGGATCAATAGCAGTACGGAATATGCAAACAGCCCAAGCAGCTGCTCTGTGCGGGCTCTCATGCACACAGTTCTGCAGCCCTGAAGGCAGGTGCATGATAGCAAGGAGTAGGAGGGAGACACGAGGGACCCCTTGGCATCTGCTCAAAGTGACAATTTGTGATGAGGAGGTGCAACTGTGCCATTCCAAGCAGAGGCAATGCCTGGTTTTATCACTTTCCAAAGCATTTTTTGCTGGTCCAAATCTCAGCCGGGACAGGGGATGCAGTGCCTGCTGCAGTGCATGGGATGCTCCTAAGCACAAAGCCTCATGCAGACAGGAGCGGGACTTGATAACTGGTTCGATGCCTTCCCCTGTTGCCAGTAATTAGGCTGACAAGGCTCTCAAAATTTGCTGCCTGCAATTACACATGCAGAGTAATAAATGAGGTGTAATTATCGGCTTAGGGAGATTATCAAACTTTCCTTTACTGAGTGGCAGTGCAGGAAAGGTGAGAGGGGAAAAGGTGCCCTGTGGAGTCTAGGATGTTTGTGGGGGGTCCTGTCTTGCCCTGTTGTGCATGAACAGATCCAACTTGAGGGGAACAAAGCAAGGTCACCCCAAAACCAAGGGGCAATTGTGTCTGATGAACAGGCGCAGGGAGTTGTGAGACATTGTTCCATAACCCTTAATGGCAGCCTCTTGTTATGGGGTTTTATTAGGGAAACACTCAATCCTGAATGGGTCAGATGGCTTAAAAGTGAGATTTTTATGCATGGGCACGTTGGTGCCAATAGCAGGTGGAGGAGGAAAAGGAGGATGCAGCTGACACACACAAAGATGGGCTGCTGGGGCAGGACCAACAGCCAAAAATGCACTGTGATTAAAGCTGAGTCTGTCCGTGGAAAAATAAAAATTGCACCAAACCCTACACAAACATGATGTTTTGGCCCTATAACTTTGTCCCTGATGGATGCGTTTTGAGGCAGCAGAGCCCTGTGCCCAAGCCCTGGGAGCCAGAAACCTCCATCCCCCGCCTGCCTGCAGATTACAGAACACACAGCATGGCCCCGTGGGGCTGTAGGTGTGTTCCCTGTCCAGCATAGGGCTCAAACCAGCTGAGCAGGATGCAGTGCTAAAATCACAGCAGGCGGAGAGCTCAGCACTGTGCCCAATCTAAACCAGTGAGACCACTGGGAAATACAGCATGAAGCTTTATAGAGAGCTTAAAAAGAAATAGAAAAAAGATGTGGTCTTGGCCAAAATCTCATGATGGTTCTGCTTGGCAGCAGCTTGATAGGCCTCAGGGATGCAGGAGTCCTTAAAACTTTCTTACAGTAGAATTTGAGAGCCAACACAGCTCCAGTATACAAATGTCACTCTTCATAAATCTATGAATACCGTGAGTTTTTCTCATGCTGGGCTTCAGAACATGGGATTTTACCCCAGATTCCATGCCAAGGTTTTGGAGAGGCTAAAAATGCAGCTAGTGTTTCCTTCTTAAGCATCCTGGCCACCCGGTCAGGCTCTGCTGATTGTATTAACACTGTGTCAGCATGCAAGACTTGGTGCTCTTTGCTGCCACAATTAGGCTTGGAGGAGCCCTTTCATGTAGCCTTGCTCAGAGAAGTTCCAGGCAGCTGCCATGGAGTGTTGGGGTATTGCCCCATGTAAATGGGGACTGTGCTGTTACCGTATCATATCATGCCTATTGCAATGGAGTAAACCACAGTGGGGTTCTTGGTCTGTTCACCAAGGAGATCCATGGTGATGGAGCTTCCCCATCTCCCTGTTCCTCTTCATCCATGGGAGATGCCTGCATCCCAGCCCAAGCTCCCTCCTTGGAGCACCAAGACCCATCTCACCCAGTTTTCCTCTTTGCTGGCTAGCGAAGTCTCCTGGGATTGCCCAGAGAGAGATGACTATCTCCAAGAAAAGCTATTTTTTCCAGCAACCAGCGCATTTCCCATGGGAGCTTCCAAAGAAAACCAAACCAAACACCAAGCCAACAACACAAAAACAATTCCTCAAATGCCTCATGCAAGCAAAACACCCAGGAATCCCTAATTTCCACTGGAAGCCACTTGCCTTGTTTTGCTTTCTTTTTTTTCTTTGCCTCCCTGCTTGCCAAATAACCAGTTCTCCCTGCACCCATTGCTACCCAGGAGTTGTTAGGGAGGGAAGGACCAACCTGAGCAAACATTTCCTTTTGCTGCAGCGTTACACAGGCATTGCCCTAATGGGGTAGCTGGAGCTGTGAGTCAGCACATGGAAAATTTGGGTTGTTTTAAAGAAAATGCATCATTCTAATGATACCGTGTATTATAATAATCCTAAACAACCATCTTGCATAACGAGAGGGGTAGAAATGTTTAATGCATAAAGCTTTGGACTCCTTATATGGAACTATAAGGGAGGTGAGAACAAAAAGGGGAGAATGAGCTCTGAAAGCTGAGTGCTGTGCATCCCCCACCCTTTCTGCCATGTACCCCCTTCCCGGCCCCGCAATTACCGCCCGGCCCCAGGGGCTGACTTATCGCCAGCATCACAGAGCGGGGCGGCAGCTTCGCGGATGGTGGAGGTGGAGATGGCAGGGTCCCTGGTCCACCCCATCGTCATCGAGGGATGGGAGGAAGGAGGAGTTACATTCCCCAGCCTTTTAATCCAGTCGTGCTGGTTCACCTACAAAGCTGGGCAACCAGGCAGCAATCTTCTTCACATGCAGCCGCCGTCCCCAGCACACCATGTCCCAGCGCCAGGTCGTGCAGATGTCTACCAGTCATGCCAGCTACGGGGTCTGCGTACTGGGCAGTGAGGTCTTCCTTGACAACCATCGGTAAGGCTCGGGGTCGAGGCGCATCCATAGGGATGATGGGTTTTGGAGGCGACCGATGGCTTTGCGTGTTTTTGGTCTTTGCAAAGGGTGTTAAGGGGAAAGATCTCACGGTGGTTCCGTATACGGGTGCATAAAGGACGTGTGCCCATGGGTCTGCTTTAGGATGCCTGAAGGAGGGATGTTGAATCTAACAACAAAGGCAAGGCATCAAAGTGTAGCCCAGCAAAGACAACTCAGAGGCAAAGCCCATGCACACCCCAGCTAAGTGGGATCTATTTCTGGCAGAGAAAGCATTGGGCAACAGCGATTCAAGATGAGCAACTTGTTAAGAGCTAATCTGGGTTAAAGAACAAATGTGTGTCTCAGGCATAAAAAATTCGTGAGAGGGTTTGCATGGTTTACGTAATGAGAAGAGATTTTTCTGATGTTAAACATAGGGGTTGTATTATTGCCCACATATGAGGCTGTGTTTGCCCTCTTCTTAAGTTGTCATTATTTAATAAATTACATCCATAATGATAGTGGCTGTAGGCCAAGCCAGTTGGGATCACAGCTGGGGCAATTATTTGGATTGTATATTGGAGCTGTGCTGGGAGGTGCTGACATCCCCCCACTGAGGCTGCCCTTCAAACCTATTCGTTTTACACTCAGGCAAATGGGAATACATAAAACATATTACTTGAGTTATTTTTTTTTCAATTTGAACTCAAAGAAAGCTCAATCCCATTTAAGCATGGGACCTAAGTCTAAAAGGAGCTGATTTGGCTCCTTGGTAGCAAATCTGAGCTTTGGTCCTAAAAGGCGTATGGCAGATAGGCATGTGGCAGATGCTCTTTCAACATCAGGGCTAGAAAAATAGGAGGTGTTCTATGCCTAGAGAGCCCTCTCTATGCTGGAGAAAATTCAGTGATGGATGCTTGACTGGTTTGGGGTAGAAGACAAAGTGCAATGGAAGTCCTGTGCTCAGTGAGCTTACATCTCAGCATGGCCGTGCATGAAATTACAGCCAATAAATCCAAATTTGAGATGTCATGGCATGCAATGTATGGGTAGACTGCAGGTAGACTTCCTACATTGCATGCTAGTAAACACATGACAAGTGGGATGATGCTTTAATCTTCCTTACAAGCTACTGCAGGCATCAGGGATATCATGCCAAGAGCAACATCAGGGATAAAAAATGTCTTCTGTGTTGTATTCTCCCTGCTAAAATTTACAACTGTGTCCCTCTCCTTGCGTTGCTGGGGAGGTTGGCTCCCTGCAGCAGACAGGTTGGAGCACTCGCACGGCTTGTGTGAAGGTGCTGGGGCTGTAATGAGCATGTAGGCAGCACTTCAAAGGCCAGGTGAGTGAAGGCTCCCTGTGCTCCAGTTCAAGTTCTGCTCCACTTTGGGCATCTCTCAGGTCAGTGGGTGGACTGGCAATAACAAGTGACATCAAAACCAGCCCCAATCTTGGTCTGGGTTTTGTGGTGGGATGCTGAAATTTTGGGGGTTCTCTTCCTGCTGGGGAGGGATGTTGGGTGCCTGAGCTTCAGAGGCGTGCAATTGGGGCTTAACCACAGACGGATGTGATGGCACTCTGCTTGCTCAACTCTGCCACAGAGATAATGCTTATAAAATTCAGGCAATGCATTTCATCACCTGAAAATGGTTTCCAAATCCTAAGACCCATTTAAGGCTGGACATAGAATGGCTTAGATTGGAAGGGACCTTAAAGATCATCCAATTCCAACCTCTTGCCATGGGCAGGGTGGCCAACTACTTGATCAGGCTGTCAAGGATCCCATCCAGCCTGGCCTTGAATTGCCTACAGAATGCCTACAGAGTTTTGATTCTAGGGAGCCTATTTTAACAATTTGGGTTTGCTGAGGATAAGAGGAAAGAAAACTCAGCCTATGTCTCCACGCTGCTCTCTGTTTCAGATCTACTCCTAAAGGTGCCACATCATTTGATGTTCATGCCACATCTGCCGTCACAGTCCACATCATCCACAGCCCTATGACAAAACCCATGCTTAACTCCAGATGGCCACTGGATCCCGATATAGAGGTTGTAGTGACCGTTGGTATCACCAGCAAGACTGTCAATGACAATAAGGTTAGTTGCTCTTTATGCACTGAATCTGGAAGTATTAATCAATTTTCCCAGGAAAGTAGGAAGAACGATGGGCAGGCTCAAGTATTTCTAGGTAATGCTGACATCAGACGTGTTTCTATAGTATAAACTCAGACTTACACAGAATTGTGCAACTGTCACATACACAGTCAAACTAAGAAGGAGAAGGAGATAAGGATGGTTGCAAAAGCCTGTGTCAGAAATTCCATGTCAGGCAAAACAAATGGTCAAACTTTGTCTTTTTCTATGCCTGCTTTTGTGCTGAAGCAGGCAGAACTTATTTGGTTGAACTATGGTTAAAGCAGCAGGATATTGATGAACCTTCCAACAACTTGTTGTATGGCATTGCTGGGCTAACCCACAGGGTGAAAAGACCTACTCAGCATGAAGAGACACAGGACTTGGGTCACAGTCTGGTGATGTCTTTGCAGGTTAAGATTTCATACTACGGACGGGAAGAGAATGAGATTTCAGTGGCTTGGTTGTACCTCACCTGTGTAGGTATGTATTATGACAACACTCATCTGAACTTGGCCAACCCTTTCCAATGCCACAATCTCGTTTGGTTCATGGGATGGGACTTAAGTGAGGATGCAGGCTGCCCATGCACAACATGCAGCCAAGGTTTGGGTGTTGACAGCTTATGCTGACAAGCATGAGGGAAATAATTAAAATGTTCTTGTGCTGCTTTATGTGGTGCAAAAAAGACACAGGCTGGGCTCTGCCTCCACCCAATGCACTCTATGAGTGGCCTCCTCTGACCACCAAAACAATTCAATTGATGGAAGAGGATCCAAAGATGACCATCTCACCCACCTTCCACCAGCAAGCCCATTGTCAGCTTCCAGTGTGGCTGGTGGGGAGGAATAGGCACAGAAGTGTAGTTGTCTGACCTATTTTAGAAGTTTAGGATGAGATGAATCATTCCCTTGAAATGCCTATTTTCCTCTGCTGACTACAAAGGGAGTCTAGACAACTAGTCTGGATGCAGTCTTCCACTTGGATGGATTAATTATCCTAAATTTGGTATTTTCTGAAGTGCTCACATGATAGCCAGACCTGCGTCCTCAAGTCATGCACATGCTTGTCAAAATATCCTCTGAAGATGGTTTCCCACATCCATGGGGTCCACTGGAGCCATTGAGGGCCACCACTGTCCGCAGAGCTTTGGCCTTACAAAAGCTCATTGCTTGCTTGGATTTAGGAATTCATGTCCAAAATTATGCTCCCAGCTTCTTCACGTCTTCTTTGAATCAAGTAGGACGATTTCTGCTTCAGCATCCACATTTTCCACGCGCTGTCTCATTTGGTGGATATATATCTAAATAAGCTTTATGTAGGCTAGAGATGAGGTTGTTGGTACACATGCAATTTGGTCCAAGAGCTCTCTAGGGGTGAGTCTTTCTCAAATGTTACACCACCTCTAATAATTACCTAGTGTCCATTCACCCATTTCGTGCCTTTGGCTTCACAAAAATATGCTATGGTCAACATGAAATTGGTGAAACTCTATTTCACCAGTGATGAAATTATGAGACTTCACCAAGATGAACTGGTGAAAACAAGCAGGTGTATCCTTGATGGGGGACCCAGGATGGGAGAAGATAGCTGGAATGGGCGAGCGTTAGGGCATAAAGGCAGAGTTGGCATTGGATGACTCACTGTGGTATGAGGATGGGCCCAAGATGTCCATGATTGCTCATGCTCATGCCAATGATTTACTTCTTGCTCTGATATTTCAGATATATCCCTGGACGTGGACGTGAGTCGTAATGGCAGAGTGAGGAGCAAAGGGAAGGACAAGGTAATGGGAAACGTTGCATGGCTTTCAACAACACAAGGAGGGGAAAACATGAGGAAAATCTCCCAGAAGGAGAGGGATTTGGGTGGTTTCTGAAATAGGGAAAATAGTGCTGCAAATTCTCAGCCTTCTAATTGAAGAGGAAAACTTTTTTTTTTTTAATTTTGTGCCAAAATGTCTTGTCTCTCCAGTCCAGCCCTACGACTTTTTTTGTTGTTGTCGTTCCTTTTTGGATTTGAAACGTGCCACTAAATGACTCATCTGCAAGTTTAGCAAATAGCAAGAGATTTACCCCTTTGGCAAGAAATCTGCATATACCCAAGCACTTACGCCCAGATAATTAACTGCAGCCTGATCGGCAGCACAAATTGTACATCAAGATGAGATGCATTTCTAGAAATAGGATATTCTCTTTCAAATGAGGTCTGACAGATATAACATGGCTTGTTAGAAGATAAGATCTGTTTGAAATAGTCCTTGTTGGCTTGGCTGCAAGGTGAGGTTAGGAAATTCAGAGGCTTGATAGTATCTCTGCCAAAGCTCTCCTGATTGCTCACGGTGGGATCCCCTCTGAGCATGGCTGTGGCTGTGGTATTTTCCCATCCCAACCACTGCTGTGAGGGGTCTGGGAAGGAGGAGTTTTTCAGGATCAGCTCCCATCCCCATTGGATGTTTCTCCTCCAGGCCAAGTGGACATGGGGACCAGATGGACAAGGGGCTGTGCTGTTGGTCAACTGCGACAAGGACAGCCCCAACACGGTGGGGACAGACAGCAACCAGGTGGACATACAGACCCCTGCAGGTAGGGCTCATCCACGAGGCTCATACTATCTTGCTGGGGTGTTTTGCAGTATCTCCATCCCTCTCCTCATTCATGATCCTGCTGATGGTGAAACGAGTTGCAAAAATAGTATCAGACGCTTGCAAAGCAATTAGGGATAGTGACAGCATTACCTGTTCCTCCATTGCAACAGAAATTGGCTCTTTTCCACTACTCCTTCCCTGTTTTAATTTCCTGGACATCCCTATAAAAACACAATGAGCGTCATCCCAGCAGGCTTGCCCTATAAATCCACTTGCAACTGAAGGATAGCAAAGCCCACAGGCAGCACTGGAGGCTGGAAACCTCCCAGCATCCCCTGTCTCCATCTTCTTTCCCCCATAGATCTGCAGGACATGTCTGTGATGCTGCTACGGACTCAAGGTCCTAGCAGTATCTTTGCTGACTATCAGCTTGTCCTACATGTCTCCGAGTCAGATGCAGACAAGGTGCGGGTTTTTCATGCTATCCGTGAGTATTTCTTGAGTATTTCTTCCTTACTTCCTTCCCAAATATTGATGCCAACACACTGTGACCCAAGTGGGTAAGCCCTTTCTCAGTAGGATTAAGGGCTGAGCGCTAGCACTTCTTGGATACATCCATTTATCCCCAAAATTGGTTTAGAAAATAATGCTATGGGGGGAATGTAAAGACTTTTCGGGAAAAAATAATGAAAAAAAGTCTTTGTTCAGTGGGATTACTGAAGTTCTGAGAATTTCATGGGAGGATAAGCACAGGCAGCAACACATCTGCCAAAGGTGCCCATCTCGTTAGATTGTGCGCTTCTCCTTTGAACACCCTAGATGGTGGATCCCAGCAGTTCCGGGCTGAAAATCAGGTCAAGGAAGCAAGCTGTATCATTAGGTGCTTAACTTGAGACACGCACCTTGAAAGGGTTTGACCCGAGGGCATAGAGTCCTCTTTGTATGAGCAGATCAAGTGTGTTCCCCAGAAAAGAGCCGGCACACCCGCTCTTCTGCAAACCATGCTGGCACCATCACCTCCTCCATGGGCCTCCTTGCACCCATGTGGGCTGGCTATTTCGATGTTTCTGCAGGGAGTGACTCGCACCCCCAGTACAAACCCATTTTGGGACCGGGCATGCTCTCCTGCACACTAGACTGTGTCAGAAGTGGAGAAAACACCTTCTACGTGGAAGGGTTGGCTTTTCCTGACGCAGGTTTCTCTGGATTGGTTTCTATCAATGTCAGCTTGCTGGAGGTGCCCCATAAGGTACGTGGGATCTACTCCTTCCTGTCCCCACAAAGTCTCCAGTGGGGTTACCAACCACTTCTCCTGGTGTTTTGCCCTTGCAGTATTCTCCTGGGACCCCCATTTTCACGGATACAGTGGTTTTCCGCATGGCGCCCTGGATAATGACACCCAACACCCAGCAGCCCCTGGAGGTGTTTGTCTGCAGGTAGGACAAATGCCACTCTACAGCTCTGCTGCCTTGGGGGCTCTCCATAAAGGAGCTTTTACCCTTCCTTGCTTTGTGCACAGGCTTTATGCATGCTGTGCAAGAGCCTAATGCTGCTGCACTCGTTGCAATCCCAAGAAGAAGGCTGGAGGAACCTTCTCCAAGGGCTTGTGCAGAGGTGTTACCCAAAAATTGAATGTTTGGAGTGAGAAGGATTCTTGAGGTCCTTCACGCCTTCTTCTCCCTCCAGCATCAAGAGGGGAATCAACTCCAATGAAGTTTTTCTGGAGGAGCTCCAAGCCCTGCTGAGGAAAGCCAACTGCAAGATGACCATCTGCTCCGAACTGGAAAGCCGCAGTGACCGCTGGATCCAGGTCAGCCCTCAATGCTTGTAAGGCATGGCTTTTCTGGGACTTCTTATGAGCTGTGGGATGTTGTCCTTGGGAGGGACCAGTTCTGTTACTTGGAGAAACATGCAGATGCTAAGAGATGATTGCTTAGCAATCATGAGCTAAAACAGTGGGAGATGCTGTTGGTGGTGACAAACTGTACAGACAAGGATGTTGGCTGGACCCCAGGGACATTGCAAGAGGGGCCCCAGTGAAAGAAGAAACTTGTAGGGCATTGCAAGGGGCACTACACCCAGCATTGCAAAAGGGACCCCATGGGGCATTGCATGAGGTTCCCCATTGCAAGAAGGACCCCAAGGAGGATTGCAAGAGGGACTGCATGGGACACTGCAAGAAATTAATTGTGACAGGTCTGCCCCATGTCCTGCTCCATCCTTACTGTGTGCTTTGCCGTGCTGGCTCTCACACACAGGAGCCTTCTTCCTCCTCCTCCTCCTCTTCTTTCCCCCAACAGGATGAGCTGGAGTTTGGCTACGTGGAGGCACCACACAAGTCCTTCCCTGTGGTCTTCGACTCGCCCAGGAACAGAGGCTTGAAAGACTTTGCTTTTAAGAAGATCCTGGTGCGCTAGGGCATTGTTATCACTTTTATCCCCAAAAATCATTCTCAGGGGCTCCCCATCAGTGCTCCCCTCTGTCCCCAGGGCCCTGATTTTGGTTACGTGACCCGTGTGCCCCGTGGTTGTGACGCCTGTAGTCTTGACTCCTTTGGCAACCTGGATGTGAGCCCTCCAGTGACAGTGCGAGGCAAGGAGTATCCTCTGGGACGCATTCTCATTGGCAGCCCCCTGCCCTGGTGAGACAGGAAAACATCCAAAAGTGATTTGCTACAAAAAACATATTTGGGCTAAATGCCACCAAAGTGCCATCCTAATCATAAATTTCACATTCAGACCACATTGCTGTTCCTTCTCTCCTTGTAAAACCTTATTATCTCCCCTCTTGCCTTTCACCCTGATCCTACAGTACCCCAAACATAATGCCTGCATTTTTAGTTTTCCCTACTGAAAGGAAAAGCAGAGGAATTCAGCAAAGGATAAAATCCTGAATAACTGGGAATTGTTTTCTGCTGTGCCCTTGGCACAGGGAACAACAACGTCCTGCAAAACCCTGTACAAAGGCGACTCTTCATCTGGACAAACAACAGTGAGGTTGAATCTTGGGGTTTCAGCCAGGACAGCAAACGGAGCAGGCCATGCTGCTCCATCCTTTGCTTACCCCGACGGGAAAATGGGATTTTCCCAGCCACACCAGGGCTGTAATTATCCCTTATTACAAGAAGTTATAATTAATGTTTTCTCAGCCTGCTGCTGGCTGTCTAGGAAAACGTAGGGAGGGATTTAAGGCACAGAGGAATGGGATCGCTCATGTATATCTCCACGCGTCTATCTCTGTACCCCACACAATGTAGGAGTTTGGAATTAGATGTGGCCATTAGATTTGGTCAATTTACCACCTCTTCCCTTCTGAAGTGGGCATAAATACTGATGGTTTGCTTCAAAATGCCCCTTTTCCCAGTGGGTTGGGTGTTTTGGGGTGCAATCACTCCTGCTTCCTCCTGCTTTTGCCCTCAGGTCCTCCGGCCGTCGGATGTCGAAAGTGGTCAGGGATTTCCTTTACGCCCAGAAGGTGCAGGCACCAGTGGAAGTCTACTCAGAGTGGCTGAGTGTGGGCCACGTGGATGAGTTCCTCACATTTGTGCCTGCATACGACAGAAAGGTAACGACCCTATGTCCATCCCCACGTCCTCAGCATTATATAATGATGCAGAAGGCCATTTCATTTTGCAAGTCAGCAATAAAAAGTAAAAAGCTTGGCTTATGAGGAAAAGGCAGGCTCAGCCCCATGCATGAATTACCTTCCTTTTGGGGTGGCTTCCTGAGAAGCAATGGGTTTCTGGGTGTCATCCTATGTACTGTGCAGCCCTTGGGACTGGTGTTGGGTATACTTGGGTTGGCACATGAAAACATCCTATTGAAATCCCAAAAAATGGGTTTATGCATTCATCCTGCAGGGATTCCGACTCCTCTTGGCCAGCCCCACTGCCTGCTTCAAGCTCTTCCAGGAGAAGCAGAGGCAGGGACACGGCGAGGCCACACAACTTGTGGGTAAGGCAATGGGTAAGGATGTCCCCATATCACTGGGTGCCAGCGATGTCCCTCACCAATGTCCCCATATAGGGATTGTGGGCAGTGAGCGGAGGAGCATTGATGACATCTTGGCAGATGAAGGGCTGAGGAATGACAACAAACATGTGCAGGTGAGCTGCAAAGGAGCTGAGCGCATTTGGGTGCTAACTGGGAACAGGATGTCATCCCAATGGGTGATGCCCCAAAGTGGCCGTGGAGGTAGGAACCAAAGGTTGCTTAGGTGACTTCAGGAGGTTGCTCAAAAAGGATTCTGTGGGGGATGCGGGCTGTATAGTCTTCCTGCATGGGATTTGGGGTGATGACACGGGCCCTCCTCTGAACAGCGCTGCATCGATTGGAACCGCGACCTGCTCAAGCGTGAGCTGGGGCTGAGTGAACAGGACATCATTGACATCCCGCAGCTCTTCATCTTGCGGGGTTCTCGTGCAGAAGCCCTCTTCCCAGACATGGTGAGACCACCACCACTTCTCTTCCCCTCACCAGTTTCCCTCCACGCTCTCCTTGTACACCATTTGGGTGAAAAAAATACTTCTGGTCCATCTCCAGGTGAACATGCTGGTGCTGGGCAGACACCTGGGCATCCCCAAGCCCTTCGGGCCACTGGTGGATGGGCAGTGCTGCCTGGAGGAGCGGGTGAGAGCACTGCTGCAGCCCCTGGGGCTCTCCTGCACCTTCATCAACGACTTCTTTTCCTACCATGTCCTTTCTGGAGATGTGCACTGCGGCACCAACGTCCGCCGCAAGCCCTTGGCCATCAAGTGGTGGCATGTGGTGCCCTAAGTGCCCAGGAAGAGTCCCTGGTCCTTCCCAGTAGGGGATTTGGAGCATCTCAAAATAAAGTGTGTTGGCAATATGAGGACTGAGGGTACAGTTTTTCCTTGTGCTCCATCCTGTTGTTGGGTTGGAACACTGTTGGAGGCATTTTTCTTATGGGAGGGATCGCTATGAGCATATTGCATGCATGGTGCCTCACATAAACTGATTAGGGGTCTTGCAGTCCCTTGCCCCAGTTTCATGCTAAATAAAGCCCTCCAAATCCCTCCTGTGTCCAGTCTTGTCCAACATCTTCATCAACAACCTGGATGAAGAGATGGAGTTCACCCTCAGCAAGTTTGCTGGTGTTACAAAGCCGGGAGGATCGGCTGACACACCTGAAGGCTGTGCTGCCATTCAACAAGACCTGGACAGACTGGAGAGTTGGGCAGGGAGGAATCTGGTGAGGTTTAACAAGTGTAGAGCCTTGCACCTGGGGAGGAATAACTGCTGTAGCAAAAATACTAAATCATGGCCTGGAGCAGTGATGGAGCACCTGGTGGAAAGTCAGGGCTGATCCAGGGGAGCTCAGGTGCATGCAATGTAGCTGAATGATTGGAAGGGATGGAGCCAGGATCCACCCTTTCCCAGCCCTCATTTAAGGGTTGGCAGTGGAAGTGAGGGTTTTTTTGCTGCAGATTCCTGCGTACCTGAGGCCTTACAAAGGTAAGCAGCTCTTTTTTTTTTTTTTTTTTTTTTTTTTTTTTTTTTTTTTTTTTTTT